TCATTACTGCACAAATCTCCGTCTGTTCTCTTGCTTCGTTCAGTCCTTAAGAGTTGTTTTGCAGGCAGAACTGGCTGACCTTGATCTTCCACTGTATCAAAGAATTGTCAGCTCTGTCAGCAGTACATCCACTAGTTATTTATTAATGGTGCTGGCATATGCACTGCCTAACACTAGCTTGTTGGCTTTATCCTTGAGATTACCCTATTGGTAAACTCTTCCCAACCTTATAATTCCTCTTAACATACCTGTTGTCATCTTCCTTTAGGCAATTTCTTCACTGTGTTACAATTGACTTGGAAAATGAGATATACATCAGGGATGCTTTTTGGTATTGTCATATGGGAAGTATTCAGTAGAGAGCCTTTAATAACTCTCTGCCATCTCCACTCCTTACTTAAAAGGGGTACTTAAACTCCCCAATTTCTTCTACTTTCATGTAAAACTAAACCCAGCTAATTTTTACTAATTCTCCTTTTTAACATGCCAAACTCTGCACTTAGAAATTGTACCTTGTTTAGAGGAAAAATGGATATTTGTAGAAAAAGCAGAGCCTTTCTTTTAACTTACTGTGTCAATATGTGACTATGGCAGATGAGCAGGATTTCTTTTCTCAGTGATCTGTTGTTGAATCGTTGCTACTTTTCCTTGAGAAACCACTTTAGACTCTTATGTGAATGAATCTTCTGGCAAGGAAGTACACCACCTCCTATACTACTACAAAATTTGTTCTTCAGTTGTATCTGGGAAGTTAAAGACCTTGACACTAATAATAGTTGTAGCTTTATGAAGACAAATATAATTTGGTGTCTTCAGTCATATCCATTTCTTTTGTGCCAGGAGGTTTCGTACTTAAGAAATTGTTACTGTGGTGCAAAAAATTTATTCCTGTCTTCTGAAATTATGGTATCTCTCAGGGTGAAAAAGTAATGTGTCTATTGCAACTATAGGGAAACCCTACTGTTGTACTTGCTATAGTAAGAGGCTTTGCCTCTTTCATCACTCATGCCAGTTCTTCTGTTTGTTTGTCCTGCTTGTACTAATGAAAAGACCAAACTGTATTTTTCCCTGTCTCTGCATTGTCTTCAAGGGAGAGAGACTTGCACTGCAGAAAGTACTTAAGTTTTATATATTTGAAATGATTTTGATTTGATTTTGGAAATTAAGTTTGTTTTTAAAAAACCTTAAAATCCCACAAAACCAGACTTTGCCGATTCATTTAAAACAGAACAAAACCCCAAGGATTGTGAGAAGTTTTTCTTAATGGCTTCACTTGCCAGAAACAGTAGAACCTGGTGCCCCTCTGGTTTGACTTGTAATTTTCTCCCTCCTCCCACCAGCTAATAGTGAAGCCAATCCATGTGTATTTTAAAGAAGTAAATTAAACCTGCTGTATGGAGTATGTTCTGAGGGAGTAGGTATTGACATTGGAGAGTGCTTTAACCAAAAAGACATCAAAAGCCAGTACTGGCATGTTTTTTTAGGCTAATAACTGCCTTGGATTGAGCAAAAGGTAAATTACAAATGTTGTTCTGTGACTTTGGTTTTCAGTTTAACAGTGTTAAGTCAATCTGATCACTCTTACTGTAATCTAGTTTTTAGAAATTAAAACTTTTATCTCAAGCTTTCATGGAGCATGTCTCCTTTCAGCACTGAAATTGCTGAGAGCGGCAATAAGAGAAATGACTGGTGGAATTACTTCTTAAATCTGTTATACAGTTGGGGGAAACTGAAGAAACACTTCATGAAGTTTATTATATAAGCTTTTTTAGCAGTATTGTATTTCTTCCAATACCTCTTCCAATTAATTGTTACTTCAAACCAGGTAGATACCAAGAACTTTAAGACTCATACTGTCTTACCTAAATTTTACTGGTTATGACTTCAGGAAATTGTTATAAAGTTTTCTCTCTTAATTAGCAAAGTGGGATTGGTTTCAGATAGAGTAAAAGAGGTGGAAAGAGAAGGAATTATAATAACTTATTTTAGCTTGTTCTTAATTGCTTAAAACAAAACCAAACTTTGAGTTGTTTGGTATTTTGTTTGTGTGATCTTGATAAAGGAAGGTGCTGCAAGCAATTACAGACTAATTACATGATAATCTCAATATTGCTGAACAGTGAGCACACATTTCAAGGAGCTTCTCTATATGGAAAAGCACACGTTGTCACTGCATGATGAACTTAATTCCTGTGATCCACATACCATTGCTTTCCATTTCTGATTTAGCAGCAGGTAATTACATTTAAAAAGAAAAAAACAATGCCCCCCAAAACACCTGAATAACCTCAGCACTCTGAAAATTTTATTTTCCACCTGAGAAGCTGAAAGATTCAGGTGTGGGTAGGAGGAAATGAGGAGTAAGCCACCATGACACCATTATTCATAGAGCAGGTCTTTAAAAAGGATGATGCAGGGCCAGTAATGTGATGTCAGTGACACCACCTAACTATGATTGCAAGTATTCGTGGCAGTGTGCTGAAGCTGTGATAAGGTTTTCCCAGGCTGAACTTAATTTTGAGAACAACTGCTTTACCATGATGAATAAAACTAGTCTAAAGAAGTAAAGTTGTAAATAAACAAGAGACTCTTATTTGTGTATGCCTCATTCTCCAATTCTGGAGATCTAAAAAGTACATTTTTCTCAAATATATGGTCTTGAATCTTGGTGATAGTGTGTGTGCAGGGCAAAGGATGAAGTTTTTATTCCGTATATATTTTATAGAATAAATGGTGTTGGAAACATACCACGGCATTATGTTGACAAGTCAGCTTCTCTCACCATGACTGCACACTGCTTCTGCCGCCTCCCTTGCATAAGTTAGCTGAATAATAAACAACTGATGATATATCATGACATGCTGTCACAATACCAACACAAGGGGAGGGCAGAAATGACTTCTGGGCTGTGGCATGTCTCAAAACCTTGGCTATTCTTGCTAGTAGGAGAAAGGGAGAGGGACTTTTTTCCTGCTAGGAAAGGCACTGTTTTTGCACTGTACAGCAGAGTCCAGCTCCAGGGCTGTGTGCTGGCTGATGTCTGAATGGTTCAGTGTTTTGGCGAGGCTCTTGCTTGGCTCTTAGCCCATCCTGCTGTCCTTCTGCTTTGTTGGTGTACTTGGACAGCTTCCAGAGCTGGGTGAGTTGTAGTCCTGCTGGTGTGGAACTGGAAACAACACCTCTTCACAATGATAGTGTGTTTTTCTGCCACTTTCAGAGAGGAGGTTTTGCATGCTGTTGATTTTATGACTGTAACAGCACAGAAGATACTTGATTTTTTGCGATGGGCTTAGCTGGAATACATGGACACTATAAGACTGTAACTGCTTGGTCGTTGAAAGAAGCTGTGTGTCATTCATCAGAGATCACTTCAAGGAAATTTTCACCTTGTGAGGCATTAGTTTGTTATTTGTTCTTCTGTGTCTGTTCTCAAACGGAAGCATTCTTTTAAGCAGTCACTTTATGATGGGAAGAACAAAATCGATAACAGATCATTGGTGAAACCAGTTTCACTATATATCATTCGTGATGGGCCCAGGAGTCGGGCTTAGTTTGGAGGACTTCGTGGGTGGAGGTTAAAGGGGGAAAAGGTTTGAAAAGGATCCTAGGTCTGTCTTCCTTTATCTTCTTGTAAATCCTGACTGTGTAACTTGGTGTTTCTCTTCTCTTCTCTTCCCTAACAATTCTCTTACTGCTTGGTTGGTATCTTTATATCCTTTGTTTTTTCTCCTGTTCTTTCTGTGTTTACTTCTGTTTGTACACACTTATTTGGGGGTAGCTATGTATATGGAAAGGAAGAGGTGGGCTATGCCTTGACACAGAGGTCCTGAGGGGACAACTGAGACTGCAGTAATATCTTTCTCTGGTGGGAAGGAAGGAAGGAGGCTGTTTTTCATCCTTCTTATACCGTACTGGTAGATTAGGAGTGTCTCCCCCCAGATGATTTTTGTTTTCTAACTCTAAATTGGTATGCATTTTATGTGCAATACTACTGAATTTTGAGCACAAAATCAAGGGCTTTTAAGCACTTTAATGCCACTGGGCCGTACATCCCTAAGTTAAAGAATATTTATTGTTTTGTTGAACATTCTTGGTAGTCCCCCACTTCTTTTTTCCATACAGCTATTTCTTTCTGAGTGTATTCATCCCTGTACACAAACAGATTGTGCAGACGCTGTATGTGTGTCAAGGGTGGAGGATCAGGGTTTAAAAATGTGATTCTATTAGTTTGTAGTAATTTGTATTCTATTTTGAGCTTTTTTTTTTAACTTTGCTGTTCAAATGACTAGTTTTGGTTAGTGTTGCAGGTCTCTTGAGGTGCAATAGCATAAAGCATCATGTGCCTTAATTTTGTGTTCTGTTGAGTTTAGGATGAGCCAAAGGCTTCCTCTTTTGTGAAAGAGAGGGGAATAAAATCTCCATGCCCTGAGGTTGTAGGGCTTGTGCAGTGACCACATTGCTCCAGGGAACTTCTTGGTGTATGTGTGTGGAAGTGAGGGGATTGCATGCATGTGTAATTTTTCCTTTTTTCCATATCTCTTCCTGAAAACTCCCTCTGCACTTGCACTCCCTGAGGAGCACCCCTTTTCTGCTTTCATGAAATGCAGTTTATGCTCTTCTGACCTGTGAAGCTGTCCAGAGAAGGTATAAAGGGACAACTGTTGCTCACTGAAATATAAAAGAATAGTTGATAATTGTGGCAGTAGCAGCAGATTGAGCAACTCAGTGGTTGTCAATGAACTGTTTACTCAGTCACGGTTTCGGCATGCTTCCATACTTGATGTGCCACAAATGAAGGTGAGAGGAATCCCATCTCCTTCATTCAACAGTTCTTCTGGGAGCTGCAAAGACAAGGCAGTAGTCACTGGCCAAAGGAAGTGCATAACCTTCTAACTTGCTGCATGCCCATTCCTCTTCATGCACTTCTCTTTGGAAATGTGGGGGTATAATCATTGCCAGAGTTTGTGTTGCTTTTGTAATGTATTTTTTATTCCTTTTTGCTAGCTGGCTTGCCTTTTGCAATTCTCAATTCAAGACGTATCCCCTTCCAGAGAGGAGTTTTCTGTAGTGATGAATCCATCCGGTATCCATACAAAGAGGACACCATTTCTTATAAGTTGTTAGCAGCAATAATTATTCCTTTCAGTATAATTGTTGTAAGTTAAAGTTTTCTTCATTGCATTTGATTTCAGTGGGGGTGGGGAAGAGGGAGGAGGGGCAATCTGTTAATACAGACTTCTAAAACTGCACTCTATAAGATTTCTTGACTTTAAAATAAAGTCCTTAGACCAGGTGCTAAAGCAGTAGAAATGGTGTTCTGGCAAGAATAACTAAAAGGTTTTCTTTAATTAACGTCAAACAACTAGAATTATAGAACAGACAAAGAATACCTTACAACTATGATGGCTTAATTCTATAGTCTGAGAGATAAAAACTTCCTCCCTTACCATATCAGTTAAGAATAACACTAATATATTTTAAATGACTGTCTCAAGCTTTTCTATTTTGGGAGCTACTACTTTCAGAATACAAGTTTGCATGACCTATTAAGTCAGCATTTTTACCAGCTGCAGAGTCATTGAAAATACTTCTGTGTGTGGAAGTGTAACAACAGATACTAAGTTCTTTAATAGAAAATGTTATGGCTTCTAATCAGAATTTATCAAAAGCCTAACCAGAATAAAAAGAGTAAGTAGCCAGTAAGTTTTGCCCTGGATATTCCCTCAAAGGTCAAGATAAAACACTGGGCCCATTTGTGTTAATGTTAGGGGTCACTTTCATGCTGCACCTAACCTGGTTGAAAACGGGGTACTGTTCTCCTTCCTTCCTGTTCACACCAGATTAGTGAGCTGGAGAGATTGCCTCTGCATCTGCCAGTTTGGGATCTCCCTCTCTGACCACAGCTCCACGCTCAGATGAACTGGCTCAAGCATATAGTGTCTCTGTATCTTAAGATTTAGTTATATGCTGTCAGCTGAGCTAACCTAATAGTTTACTACGGACAAAAGGCGTGGTCCCACTATTACCCTGTCTTTTGCCACCTCTGGTGGCTTGTCTGAACGAGGATAAGCTAGTGAAATTCCTTAACCTGGCAGAAAACAACAGCTTTCTTTGACCTAGGTTGAGTGAAACAGCTCCTGGAAGAATACAGTGTCAGTCCTGGGGCAAAAAGTGGTGGGTGCATGTCCTTGGGCATGGGCAGAGGGGAGAGCTTGACCTCATCAGTTGACCACTTTGTGTCCTAAGTCTCATGGGACTGCACTTTAGTTCCACAATGGCCCTTCAACAAGGGCTTCAAGATCCCTGTCTAGCTGTGCTGAAAAGCTTCAGACTCCACTCATGGCTCTGTTGGGTGACATCCAGGCTCATCAGAGCTCCACTTTGAGCAGAGTTAAAACTCTTGTATGCCAAATAAGATTTTTAGGTGTATAAATATTTATCCAAGCGTATTTTAGGAATCAAAGCTGGAAAAGGAGCAGCTAAATGTAAACCTCAGTATTGGCCAGCTGTTTTTCTGGGCTCATGGCTTAAAATCAGGAGGGATATTATGGCAATCTAACCCTTTCTTGCATAAGGACTGCATGGATTTTTATCTAGGGATCCTACTTAAAGGTCAGCTTGTAGCTTATGTTTGCTCTTGGGTGGAATTTTTCATAACTGTAGAAATGTGGGACTGGGAATCAAAACTGTGACTTACCTAGTTTTCCTTTTCTTGGAAAAACTGCTTCTGGATCAGATAAAACTTTTCTGGTTTTTGTCTGTTCTGTTAACTGGCAAGTGGTTTATGCTAAAAGATCCTGCCTTTTAAGAGAGAACTATTTTTTTTTTTCCACCCTGTTACTACTGTTGGTAGTCAGTATTGCCTAAGAGCAGCAGCACTTGGTCACAACTGAAGTCCATCTAGCTTGTTACCTCATTTCTAGCAGTGGTTAAAACAGATGAGTGAGGAAGAACAGAAGAATAGAGCAAGCAAAGATTGATATTTTGCCCTCAGTACTTTGCAACCAGCCTTTTGCAGTTCAGGGCCTTCCTGAGTCAGAAACGGCTTCAGTGAATATAGTAATTTTTAATGGATGTACTTCCTTTTGAATTTATCCAATCTCCATATGAGCCCGTATGAACATTTAGCTAACAAAGTTACCTTTGTAACATCAGGGGCCATCTTTTAGTTCCGAAATTTGGCTTTTCTGTCAAGATTGCTTTGAAGTCAGATGGTAAAAGCAAATGTTGGTGTCCTTTACTCAATGCTCACTGAGATTATTGAAGATGAAGACTCTTTGATGTCTGTGTCCAGTGAAGTAGCTGCATTGACATCACCTAATTTTTTGTCACCTCAACTGTGATAAGTGACCTTATTGCAGGTTTTGCAGCAGTGTTCTTTAAAAGAGATGAATTTTTTACTAGTTGTGGCTGTGATATTTCTGCTCAACTGTCTTCATTAAGAGGCTACTCTCTGGGGTAGGTAGATTCTGTATAAGAGCTTACCAACATCTACTTTACTGAAAACTTTCTCAGCTTTAGTCCATGTTCTGGTGTTTCTCTGCTTCAGTCCATGTTTCAGTATGGTGCAGAGCGTAAAACTTCAGTGTCACACATCTGATGAGATTGTCTGTTTGCCTTAATGTGCAAAGCTGCTGACAGCTACTTTGTCTGCCCAGGTGTCAGTGTCTAATAACGGATTCATTCACCAAAGCTCTGCTTTGCTGGGATCCTGGATTTGCCACTCTCAAGTGACGGATGGAGCCATCATTTAATCTTTACAGGATTTTTAAAGATCACTTCACCTATATGCATACAGTCCCCCACCCATCTGATCATCTGTATGACTCGAGTCTTTCTGTACAAAATGGGACTGTCTGGTTCAATATCCAGCCTGTCTGGGGTGAAGTTTTGTACTTGGTTTAAGGAAAAACTTACTTTCTGCAAAAGATAAAGTTGCAGGAAAACAAAATTAAATCTGCTTTTCTGTCAACACTTGATGCATGCTTGATGCATATACCTTGGACATGCAGGGTGAAAAATCCTTGGAAAGACCTCAGCAGAAGTTTAGCTGAAGAAGAATAAAATGTAATACTGGAGAAAATGTTTCTAATTAGGGCTATGCCAAGTAATACGGATAAATGTTACTCTGAGAAGACTTTGTTTTAATAAATATTCTGAAAACCAATAATATTAAGTTCAACATGAAGCAGGGTAAGGTAAAAGTTTTTTTTTTTTTTTTTCTTTTCTACATAAGTGTTTAAAGTTTGGGCATGGTTACTGCTGACTCTTGGAAAACTTAAATTTGCACCTTAATGTTTATAAAAAAAATTAATTCCTGAAACTACATGTCTGAGTATTAACAACAATAGAGTAATAACTTTCTTTTTAAGTTATTATCTTTCTTTAACTGTTATCCTTATTTCTCTTTCAGATCATCCTAGGAGAGACTCTCTCTGTCTTTTATAATAATTTGCACTCAAATTCATTTGTCAGAAATAACTACATAGCCACTATTTACAAAGCCATTGGGACCTTCATTTTTGGAGCAGCTGCTAGCCAGTCGTTGACAGACATTGCCAAGTACTCCATAGGTAGACTGCGTCCTCACTTCCTCGCTGTGTGCCAGCCTGACTGGACACGAATCAACTGCAGTCTAGGTTACATTGAGAACTTCTCTTGTCAAGGAGACAAAGCAAAAATCAATGAGGGAAGGTGAGTCTGACTAAACATGTATACTTGGTTGTAAGTTTCTTGGTTGTAAGTTTCTGTTCCTTAACCTGGGACAATGTGTTTAGTATTGCTACTGCATTTTTGTGCTTCTCCTAGAATAAATTTCTTGTAATGAATTTTAAAATTTGAGCCCCATCTAGACACTGGGATTTTTTTCTAGTTTAGGAAAACTTGTTTTATTAATGTACAGAAGAATGCATAAATTATTGTGTATTCATTTCTGCTTTTCTACAAAATGTGGGTGATGTTCAGTTTTGGCTTCTATTTATGTTTCTAAAATGTCTGCGCATCCCAATGAAGAGAAGAATTTGAAATCTGCCCTCAAAATTGGATATGGAATAGCAAGGAAAACAGTTCAGATTTAGAATAAAAGCAAATAAAAACTGCGTGTATCCATATAAAAATATGGAGAACGGTTAAGAGAATCACTCTACTCAGTTTTCTCATTATTAGGCATTTCATTACCTTAAATGCTTACCTGCCAGTTCAATTGCAGCAAGATAACACGGAAACAAAAATAAAGCATCTGACACATTGGAGTTTTGTCACTGTGTTATAAACAGTTTTTAAATGCTATTGGAAATGTTAAAGTACGTTCAGAATAATTTCTGATATTAGAGTTGCTTGAGCTCCCCAGAAGCTTAGTTTTAGAGAAACTCATTGCTGTTCTTTTTCCAGAAGACCTAGATACCCTCTTAGAACTTTTCTCTGTGCATGTGGTTTTTAAGTACACGTATGTAGTTTTTGCTCACTGTCCTCTGTGCTCATTTTCTCTTGTAGCATGTGTCCCCTGTGGATCTTACAGCAGCATGCATGGTATTCCTCAGCAACCACAGGAAAATGTTGCATATTGATTTGCTGAGGGACCAGGTCCAGTTCCAAGTCATGCAGTGCAGTGTTCAAAGGTGGCAGGAGCAGTTTTTATTTTGAATGGCTGTTGACAGTAGAGGAGCAAGTGCATTACGATAGATAGGCGGTATAGCAGATAATCCTAAAATGAGCAGACCTTTATGCACGTAATAAATAGACAAATTGGAGTTTGTTCTTTGAGAGATTAAAGCAGAGGAATGTCCTTCATGTGCAGCTTTTTGTATATTACTAATGCCCATAATTGTGCTTAGACTTTTATTTACTTATAGGTACTTATTTACTATATTTTATTTACTTATTCTAGACTATTCTAGACACTGATTATTGGATGGACTTTCCTTGCGTGTGAGTAGCCCAGTAGAGTTAGAATATCCACTAGTAAAGTATAGCTTTTATCTCTGTTACAGGAAATGTTTGGAGAAAGGCAGAGTAAACAAAGGAGGATTTTCATGAAACGTAGAAAACAAAGAATTTCTAAACAGCATGTCTGTTGGACTTTTAAAATGTTACTTTTCAAAGATCTGACTTGTAGTAGAACAATCTTAATAATTGAAATAAAGGAGATGCTACCTCCCCCAAGATAACAAATTGTCTTGGTATCTTGTCAGCTTTTGCAAATTTAGTGTGGTGAGTTAGCAGAACTCTTCGGAGTTTAAAAGAAGATAAAGTGGCAACTTACAACACAAGACGGGCGAAATACAGATTTTTGTTGTATATTACATTGTGGCATGGGTAAAATGTTTTGACTTTTTTTTCTTCAACTCACCAAAAGTGTTATTTTTATTATTCCACAACTACATGAAAAGATACTTGTCTAAGTTTCAAATGGAATGAGTCTTTAAACAAAATTGCACATCTTCAGGTGCTTTGTGAAACAGAATTGTGTGGCTTTCAGCATGACACTGTGGAGTCAAAATTCAATTTGGGCATAGCTCTGAGTCTTCAGTTGAACTTCTGCATGAGTCTAAAAATGTTTCTCAAATGTAAAGTGAGAAAAGGAGAAAATTTGAGTTGATGACTAAAATGGTCCTGAAATACAATTTTCTGGGTTTTGGGATGCTGAAAAACAGTGTTAGCTTATCCTCAAACAAGGAAACAGATTTTTTGGTGTATGAGAATAACATGGGGGAACAACAGCATAGCAATCACTTAGCTTTTGTTCTTCCCTGCGCAACTAGTGCTTTCAAATCTGACTTCTGTATTGGAAGCAAGATTTGTCTGTCATCTCTTAACTGATGAGCTGTTAGGTTTGTATTCTCAGCTACCATTTTGTTCCCTTTTTGTTGTCCCTGTTGCTCCCTAGAAGATGATGTAAGAGAGCTCTCCTTTTTGGTCAAAGCTTGCCTTGAAGTGATGACTTCAGTGTGAGCTCACCTGTGGTGCTTTTGCTCTCAGCTGAGTCTTTTCCATGCACAGGAAGCTGTAAACAAAAAGTAGGTTAGTGAGTGGTCAAAGAAGGGTAGATGAAAGAGGCACATTGTCCTGTACAGGTGGATGTCATGGATGCAGTGACCCACTAAATTATTCTGGGTTTCTTATGGAAATTGGGCCCTACACCTGAAAGGGTGGTTTCAATAATCTTAGGTCATGTGCCTACATACCTTACAGTTAATAAGCCATGAAGAAGAGGGAGTTTGATTGCAGTGAGTTTTGCAGCAAGTTGGAGGAGGTCAGTAGGCTCTCAAACTGTAACCCAGAGGTGAATTTCTGGATCAGTTGGACAAAATTATTAACTGCAAACTTATTACCATCTACCCTCATTTGCATAAAATAAATACGCAGGTAGAAATACCAAGAAAGAGTGAAGACAGGACAATCAATGTTGCATACAAAATCGTATGTTCTGAATTGAACCTATTATTCCTGTGTAGTAGTAGAACTTGAGGTTGGTTTTGAATATTTTTAGAGGTTCATGCTCAGCTCTACAGTCAAAAAGATGAATCTAATCTTGTTCACTACTTTTTAATTCATAGCAGGAAAACAATGCTTCCAGTGTGCACTTCCACTATGCATATTGTACTCTTCTGTTTTGTTCTCTCCTCCCTTCTCATCCCTTTTCATCATCCCTTCTCATAACTTTATACTTATCAAAACTATAAAATAGTTTTGGTATACAGCATCCCTGAGTAGATCAGAGCTCTTGGTCTGAAATAGAGTAAGTGGGTGTGTGTTGAACAGATTGGTGTAAGATGGAAGTCTCTAAAGGATACTTCAGAAATGGTACAGAAGTTAGGTAACGAACAGTTGTTCCCATTTCCTCCTAATAGTAAAACTGGAAGGTGAAACATTTGAATTAGTTTCTTTCTTTTATTATTTTCCACATGAAGATTAAGAAGATTAAGTAAACTGTGGAACTATTTGCAGTGCTGGGATGTGTAAGTTCATAGGTGGGTTCAAAAAACCATTTGAAAAAACTTCTAGAAGAATAAAACCAAAAAACAAACCATGTCTCTGGAAGCCTGTAAGTTATGGTTGGAGGCCGAGAGTGTTTTGAGCAAGCATCGTTGCTTATTTTGTTCCAGTACTGTTTAATGCAGATCTGATGTTTGCAACTCTTTGCATGTGTCCACTGTGTTATAACATGGGGGCATGGGGGAAAAATAATCATTAGTCTTTATTGTTAATCAGTAACAGTAGTATTAAAATACATGCTACAATACAGATCTGCTTCATCATGAATATAAACAAATGGACTTAAGCTTGGTTGTCTAAATTAATAAAGTGCCTGTGGGTTTTGATTAGTTTCAGTATGGTTTTACTTTCTAACCTGAGCTTGATAAGCTAATTCTTGCTGACTTAAGTATCATGTTTGCTCTGTATCATGCTGAAAACAGTCCTCTTCAGTTTTAAATAGCTTAGGTTCTCCTTGACAGCTTTTATAGTGCTTGCACTTTCAGTACTACTGGTGCTTAAACTAAGCTGAGATCACAATGACAGTTGTGTGCTTAATAAATCTCATTCATATTTGTTGAGATGCATGTGAGAGTTGGCATATATTACTTGAAAGTATGTAGCACTTGCAGATCTCTAAAATATGCATGGAAATCACTAGTTTTATTAAAAATTGCAGGTTAAATAAGTATTAGCATTAGAAACTGTGTACTTTTCTTCTATGTCTTTGTAAGACAACTCTTTCTTCAGGTAGTCTTTGGCATTTAATTTAAGCTGGACACGGGAGCTTGGTATGAGCTACTTCATGGCAGTTTTCTCAGGGTGAATGATTTATACAGAACTGCATTTTCAAGCTTTTATGAAGGTGTTGCTAGGTTTGATGCCAACTAGTTGTGTGTAGAACTTTGTAATATTGCATTTAAATAAATATTAAGAGTAGTACCTCAGTAAAGATGCTTGACCTATGAAGATGATTTTTTCCTTTGAGTATCAAAGAGCAAAGTTCTGCTTAAAGCACACAGTTCAGTAAGATACTTATTTTTAAGATATGGGCAGAAGGGTACAGAACTTTGTATCATGCGGTTCCTTTACTGGGAGACAGTGGTTTGTTTTAGTGTGTTAAAAAAGTAAGTTTAATATACAAGCACAAGTTTTAGTGTCTATGAATGAAGAGAGATCAAAGCCAAGGGGTTCTCCTGTCGCTGGTGCTAGCAATTGGCATGTCACTTTTAGTATACCAGTGTATACTTTAATGCTAATGGATTGCCTTTAAGGTACTTTCTTTAGCACCTATAAAGATAATGACTTGCCAAATGCTTGTTTCCTTTTTCAAATCAGCAAAGTAGGGCTCAGTAAAATACGTAGGTGTACTAGGCTTATAACCCTGATTGAATGGGGATGTGAACGAGCAGTCTCTACTAATCTCTGATCTCTTCGGCTTTTGCAGCTCCCATTCTTGTTCAATTCTTCCTTCTCTTTTGGCTTGCTACTGCTTACCTTTGCCTGACTTTGAGTTGGTTGGCAAGATACCCAGATTCCTCAAAGACGAGTAGGCAGAGAGGACACCAAAAGGACAGGTGATGACTTCTCCATTCCTTATTCATAGCTAAGGCATACTTCCCAAACCTGTCTGCTCTAGCCAGTCTGTGGCAGATTTTTCATGCATCCTGTTTGTTGGCTTTCTTGCATCTGAAAGAGTTAATAGAAACCACAGATGTTCA